TAACGTTGTCCGTAGGTAAACTATATTAAATTAAAAGAATTGTTACTCGATAGGAATTGAATCCGAGTACCTTACTTTAAAGTTAAAAATTGATACTCCAACCACTAGGCTAATAAGATATTCTAATAATAATTTACAAATAAATTATATTTATATTTATTTGTGTAAATATATTAATATAAAATATATAAATATATCAAAATATAAATATATTTGTATTTATATATTTTATATTTTATATTTTATGTTTTATATTTTATGTTTTATATTTTATGTTTTATATTTTATATTTTATATTTTATATATTTTATATTTATATATTTACACGGAAAAAATATATTTGTAAGTTATTATCAAGATATCTTAATAGCTTAGTGGTTGGAGTATCAGCCTCCAACTCTAAGGTATTGGATTTGAATCCCGCCAATTACAATTCTCTTAATCTGGCAATAATTAAAAGTTCTAAAAATATAATAAATAATAAAAATATAATATAAAGGGGAGGGGGATCCTAAGTAATAATAAAAAGTAAGGGGAAAATAAAAATATTTTGTTAAGTGAATGCATTATCTACGGATTATAATTACCTACGAATTTTTACCCATAGATAATAAGCTTTTTTTTGTAGTGGACAAACAAAGAAGAAAAGTAGTGCATCGAAATCGTGAAGAAGGTCATCATCAATTGTTCAATGACTATTTTGCTGAAAATCTAGTATATGTAAAATGTCAATTTCGAAGAAGGTTTTATATGCGAAAGGAGGTTTTTGTAAAAAATTTGGAATTCATTGGCAATCATGATGATTACTTTACACTGATGTTATTCACATATTAGCTTATGGCTCACTTGTTGATAGTGTGATGAATATATTCGTATTAATAAAAACATTGCAGTAGAATATTTAAAATGATTTATATCAGACATTTGTGCGGTATTTGGAAATGAGTATCTAAAGAGGCCTAACAACAAAGACATGGATCAACTAATACAAATGAGAGTCACACGTAGCTTTCCATGTATGTTAGGATCAATTGATTGCATCCATTGGGAATGGAAGAATTGTCTAGTTGCATGAAATGTCAATTATGTCGAGGTGATCATGCTAACCTGAAAATCATTCTTAAAGTTGTAGCATCACAAAACTTATGAATTTGACATGTATTTTTTGATACTGCAGGGTCAAATAATGATATTACTGTATTAAATGCATATAATGTGTTTAATAAAGTTTTGTCAGGTTTTGCACATACGATGCACTACATTGTGAATGGAACGCAATATAGTATGCGATATTACATAACATATGATATTTATCCCAATTTTGTTACATTTGTGAAAACTATTTCAATGCCACAAGGACAAAAGAGAAAATTATTTGTTCAACAACAAAATTCAGCAAAAAAGGATGTTGAATGTGCATTTGGAGTCATTCAATCTTGATTTGCAATTATACGTGGTATAACACATTTTTGAGATACTCATACATTGAAGAACATAATTTATGCATGTATCATATTATACAATATGATTGTTGAGGATCAACGACGTACTTATCAAAATCATATTAATTATTATATTAGAAAAAATGACATATGAACTATTGATATATCTTCAAGTTTTCATCCTAATTTTATATTTATATACTTTCAAAGGAGTGTAACGATTCAAAATAAAAATACTCACTACCAACTTTGAACAGATTTGATAAAACATATATTAGTAAAAGTTTGGAGGAGAAAATAATGAAAATTAATTTTATGTAGTATACTTAGTATTAGTTGGTTTTTATTATATTTATTTCAATATTATGTATTTTATATTATTTTAATATTAAAATATAATATTGTATTATTAATTAAAGTAATTAATTATTTAATGTATATATTTATTTTTATAGAAAATATTAAAATAATATATAAAAATAGATAAAATAATGAATTATTTAGAATTGTTTAAAATTCTTACTGTTGAAATAAAATTAAATAAGAATTACATAGTATGAAATCCTTATATTTCACCATTTTTAAATATGAAGCAACCCATTCAAAATTCTTGTAACATAAGATATCCTTATCCTGAACAAAATCTAGTTGGAACCAACAATGTCCCATAAAATACAATATTGTTTATTACATCTAAATAGTTACTACATGAAAACAAAATCTGCTACTTAATGTATTTCATTTACATCAAGAAAATATTAATTTAAATTATTAACTGATCATTTCTTATAACTTAGAATATTAATTATTATTTTATTTAATATGGAATATGCAATTTTATTTGATATCGAGTTTTAATTTTTCATAATTTAGAACATATATTATTATTATTATTATTGAATGTAAATGCATATTTTAATAAGTATTTTAACCGCAAAAATCATTCAAATCAAGTTATAAAATATTAGTTTGGTTTAATTTAGTTTAATTTTTTAAAACTAAAACTGACCTCAATAATATTAAAATTCTATGTTTGGTTCGAGAAAGTTTTTCATACAAAATGAAATGGACCACCACTCCTAATTAATGCTAATCAAGAAATCCTAATTAACATTAACTTAAAAATAACATTAGTCTTGCATGTATTAGAAAACCTAACGGTATCTCTACTCTAAACAGAGTTTTTAATTAGATTTGTTTAAGAATAAAATTAAATATTTTATTATGAATTTCATAGTTAAGTTAGTTAAACAATTTTCTTTTAATTTTAAATAAATTTTTTCACTTTTAAGTAATTCAGATGTATGATCCATAATAAAATATTTATTTTTATTTTTAAATAATTATTGGTAGCATCTCCCATTCAAGATGTGCTAAGTGACGTTGATAACAAAATAATCATGATTGATTTGGTTTGAAATAATTTATTTTTTACATAATTAAAAAAACCATGTCAAGTTAATATTAACCTAACCTCGAATGAAAACTATTTGTTACCTTAGTTAAGCCAATGATGTGATGATGTTATTATAATTTCGAAGCCACGTGGACATGCCTCATTTGATGTCATAAGTTCGATATGATGACATCCTAATATTAGTCAAGTCAATAAAGAGTATAAAGAGAAGAAATATAAATATGAAAACGAAGAGTAGTAATACTTTCTTATTTATATATTTTATATTAAATTTGAAATTTTATAAGTTTAAGTAATCAAAACTCTAATCAATTTTTAATTTTTTTTTAATTTTATCCCAACAACATATTTTATTATAAAACATTTGAGTTCTTTTACAAAATTATATTACTCTCTAAAAATTATATTACTCTCTAAAAAAAATCATCATCCATTATAATAATTTTAACTATTGATGAAATTAATATAATTCAACATTAGTTCACCATAAATTGATATAATTACACATTAATTGATTCGTATGTTCTCTCAATATAAAAACACGTGTTTTAAATTTAAAATATTAGGTAAGGAATAATAATTATTTTTATTAAAATTCATAATACTGATAAAAAGATTAAATATAATATAGTTCTTATACAATTATTTTGTTTGATTTGGATCCATATATTTTTGTTTCTTTAATTTCCATCTGTCTTAAATTTAAAATTACTATTTTGAATTGTTATAAAATAAGTAAACTTTAATTTTAATTTTAACCAACATGGAAACAAATTGTTGTAATATCTACAAAATTTTAGTTCATATTTTTTCATAAAAATTCATTTTAAAATAAATAATATTTATTTTAAACTTTGATTATGCATTAACAAGTGTTACTTGAGACATGTATATAACATTTTCCTAAATATATAAACCGCGTAGAGTGGAAATCATAATAAAAAAAAATTGAGAAATAAAAATTAAAATCAAAACTACCTCAACTCATCAAAATTAAAAACATATTCAAACAGTGAAAGAATCACATAAGATAAGATTGATTCAAGTAACGTGTCTTAGCTGTCATTCTAAAAGTATTTGTGAACATCCTCAAAAGGTAATTATTCTCTAAAATAAATTAAGCTAGACCCACACAAAAAAGTGTCAGAGGTGTCTGCATAATTTTGCAATACCCTCAAAGAAAAAGAAAAAGAAAAATTGGAGTGTGAGCTGTTGTTCATAGTGTCTGCTAAAATAACAATTGAAACTCTGCAGGCATTACAATCAGGGCCCTGGCATGGGCTCCATATGCACAAACCATTTTGGCTTAAGGAACCAGTTGGCATGTCATTTATACAAACTCGGCTCCATTTCCAATGTGCAGCAGCTACTCTATGGAATTCAATGACCTATAGATTCTTTCTCCAACTGCAGCAATGGCAATTTCCAATTGGAGACTCAACAAATTTCTCTTGGAACAAAATATTTGTCACCAATAACCCTTGCCTGGCATATGCCAAAAAGACAATTTGAGGTAATAAATTCATAACGGTATTGTCATGCTCACTAAAGACCATTAACAAATCCTTCCCATGCACTTAATTTTATTCATAGGAGCACCATTTGGGGTCTATGAATTCAATTTTTACACCATAGCAGCGTACGTACCAGTAGCTTCAGTAGGACATACAATTTTTGCAATTCAACAAAGACAGTTGGAGGAAACGCACAGTAAACTGTAACATTAGCATATAAACAAATCATAAAGCCAAAACGTCATGGTCAAACACCAGATCTATTTCTTTTGATGGCTTAAAAAATCAACTTTCACGGGCTAGCTTTGCAGTTTCCACTTTCCATCATGATTATTTTAATGCTTAACTTGTTTAATTTAATTGCTGGTGCATTGTTTTACCTACATTTCCTGATCTTGCCGCTTGACTTTGATGATCACATTAAAAAACCAGTACTGTCTAATCACCATATGGTAAGTGTAGGTTGCTATAGTTGTTGAGAGAGAAGTGGTACTGATTAAATCTCTCAGTCCCATATATGCTGCAATTAGAACATTCCCGGGGAAAGAGAGATTCAGATCTGTTGAAATTTACTTAGAAGCTAGGTAGCTAGGCATATGCGTGTGTATGTTTTTTGAATGTAACCACATGTTGAATACAAGAAATGAATCATCAACAAAGGCTATGATTGCAAAGTTGTATGAATGTGACCCTCATTGGTTCACATTTATAGAGCCTTTATTTTGGGCGGTTGATATATTTATAGAATTATCTTCCCAGCTAACTTTATATCTTTGGTGGGACCTTCATTTTGGTTATAATGGGTTATGGCCTTCCACATCAAGTACCAAAATGCTCCCTCAGGACATGCAGAAGCCAGCCATCCTAATTGGGGAGGGGGTGGGGGTCAGGAAGAGGGTGTTGGATACAGTAATTAGTCCAGCAAGTAGCATTATCATCATCTCATAAAGCAAAGAGTAGGGTGTTGGAAGCAATAAACTAGTTGTTGTTTTTTGTAAGATAGACAAAGTGAGAGATAAGGTAGTTGCACTGCTATCACTACCTCTTTAACTCACATTTATGTTGGTGCTCTATAATGGCTCCAAGCTCCAACCAACCAAACATTCATTTCATGGGGAAACTCCATTGCCCTTGTAAATAGGAGTGAGAAGTGGGAATAAAGTAAGAGTCTCTTTGTTCAACAGTGTATTTTAAAAATCATCACAAACTTTATATTAGGATTTACGATAAATATCTCCCCCCACCCTCTTCTCTCTAGCCATTCTTTCGGTGGGCTTTTCTGGAACTTTGTTCAAAAAACTCATTCCAAGGAAGTTTCCGTGGCTAATATATATACATATAAATCTCACTCTCACCATGAAACCATGAACCATGTTTTGTCCATATATGCGACCCACAAAAACAAAAAACTAAAAAACAAATCTTTAGAAGGCATGCATGGTCCTGTGTGGAGCGTTCTGAAAAATTAATGGTACTGTGGTTTCCCCAACATACAAGGATGTTTGTAGGTTCATTGATCAACTGAAAGAAGGCCGGTAATGTATTTTCCTTAGAAATAGTGCCTAATTTATGATAAATATTAAATCTATAGTTACATTTTTTTTTCTTTATCGTAACCCACTTTTAACTACTTGGTATGAATTAAAAAAATAATTTATCTTCTAAGAAGGATCAAATAATTTCTTCAAAAGAAATTATAAAAAGTTTTATTATTTTTTCACCCATTCCCCTATTTAATAATGATTATCAAAGTACAATATGAGATATTAAAATATATAATTCGTTCTAAATATAACAACATTTTACTTCATGTAATATATTAACCCGTGCATGTTAACATTAAACATTAATAGATAGTATAAAATAAATGTATTAATTACTGTCTTTTTATAAGACTTACTTCCTACAAAAATTAAGAAAATTATTTAATATAATCTAATTATTGGTATCAATTTTTCCTTTATTTTTTTTCAAAAATGTACTTGATATTAATGGACAACTTCTCCTACTTTTTTTTTTTAAATATTGTTTCTATGTTTTTTAATCTCTCTATTAAAATTTTGTGTATACTGCTTTAAATTTGTATATGTATGTGAAAAAAAAGACATAATGGGGTTTGTTTTGCAGTAACCTAAAGTTAAACTTTCAAACATTTTGTTTAAGAAACTTTATTAATATATATTCTACTTACTATTTAAAGAAATGCGTAAGAACATTGTTGTAAAAAAAGTAATGCAAGAAACTTCTACATTAGTAATTCTTGTAAAAAAAAAGGAAAAAAAAAAGAATAATAAACAAATCCTTCAAGGACATTGATTGAGTTTTGGTGAGAGAGGAGGGTGATAAAAAATTTTGTGCCAATTAACATTAATTTTATTGAGTTTTGCAGTCCCCTAAACCTTGAGAAAGCGTGTTGGAACATTGAGACAGGCATCCTGTTTGAGAAAACTCGGTGCATTTAAGTCAAAAACCGATGGGAACTTCTAGGAATAATCAATCAGAGAAGTCTTAGTTTCACCCAATAATTAATGCCTTCACTGACTCACATCTTTTACCCAACACACATCTCTACACCAAACTAGAACATCTTTTACCTTCACTCTCACCCTGCATCATGAGTAAATCATGCCACACGTTAGACTCTTATCAATGCTCACCATTCTTCAACAACCTTCAATTTTTGAACATTAATATTTTGTTAAATTTCGTTTGTTTTTTCAAACAAAAGGAAGCATTAAGATACTTAAATTAGAGAATTAAAAAGTATTCAATGTTGTGCGAGGGGACAATAATTATTATGTTAGCCCTATTGTTTTTCCTTTCAGGCAAGGAAAGCGAACGATGCCTAACAATAATTGGACAATGAGCGTAGTAAATGCAGTGTCAGTGATCTGACCCATTTTCTAATCACAACATTACACGTATAAATCAAGCAGAAAATGGATTATTTCTCTTTCTACTTAAAAAAACAGTAACATTTCAATCGAAGATGGAAAAAGAAAACAGATTGATCTTTCCCAGATATATATATAGATATACAAGATCTTCAAAATAATCTTCCCTACACAAGAACGATCTTAATAAAAAAATATGTTTATAAATTCTTCAACTATAGAACTTTGTGAAATACTAATGATTATTAAAACTCTATCTTAGAAGTGTAACCTTATAATTGGTGACCTTGAATGTTTGAAATTCCGCACAAAATTGAGTCTCAGACACTGAATCAATGGCGTAGCAGCGTGGAGCAGAAGCCGTGACTGTAATATTAGCGTACTTTGTACTTATTAGCTAGGTAGCTGTGTATGTGTGCATCACATTGGTTACAGATTCAGTGATGGAGAGTCATGGTAGTTAATATATCGTGTGGCCATGAAATAACCTAAAGCGAAATATATACCAGAAGAAGAAGAGTAGATCTTGCCAATTAATTCGCACACTGTGATTTTTTTTCAGTTTTGCACAGATGGATACAGAAAAGAAGGAAAATCATTACTTCAAAAGAAACGAGAGCATTAACACTAGCCTCTTCATTTGTTTTCCACCCTTCACCCAACTCCTACCCTTTTGTTGCCAGTGCACACACTCACTCACTCCTCATTAAACACCCATCTGAAAAGGCTAAGGCTATGCTCTCATTCTTTACAAATTCAAAACGTAAGATAAAGGCTAAAGAAAAAGATGCAATGTAACATAGGGATTACATTGATATGCACTGAAGTGGAACTTAACTAGCATGCTTTAATTAAACACTAGCATACAAAATTAAACCTCCTACCATGGATGATGGAATTGATGAGCACTACTAGTTGTGGAGAGGGTTTGGACCGGTGTGAATTATTCTTTTGTCATCCCCATAAAGGGTGGTGTGGTGTGGATCACGTTCACCATTTGCGCTCACAACCACCACCTTGGTTTTTTGGTGAGTGGTGCTGATGGCTGTTGAGGGTGTGTGGAACAAGACCCTGCTGAAACTACGTCGCTTAGGTAGATGGCTGGTTCTGGTGGTTTTGCTTTCGTTGTCCATGGAGAAAAACAAGCTTATTAGAGAAAAAACTAGGATGACCCACAAGAAGAAAATTGCGAGTCTGGCCCAAGAAAGCCTTCTTTCTCTTGTCCTTTCTCTTTCTCTGAAACCTATCATTGCAGTTGCTGTAGATTCGCACGCAGAGTGTAGCAGCTTCAGAACACCCACAAGGCCACCATGAAAGTGCACAAAAAAGGGTGTCTCCTTGACCCGCAGCACAGTGTGTGTATGTAGAAGAAACAAACACAAGAACACAACAAGTGAGGTTTTTGGACGATTCGGAGAGGGGAAAAGAGGTAGTTGAGACTAGAAAAAGAGAGTCAACAAAATAAACAACACTAAATAAAAAACATGCAAACAAAACACATAAAAGTTTGGGTTATTTCCTTGTCTTATGGGTCTAGTCACATGATCTTGACCCTTGATTCCTGGAAGCTTCTTATAATTCTTATATTTCACTATCTCAGTCCTTTTTCTTTGGACTTCGCACCTACCGCTACAAACATATGTCATATTGGACTTTATTTTAAACCGCTGCAGATTCTTTTTTAAATAAGGCTTCACCGTGACTATGTTCCACTTTTCATTACATATTTTTTATTGCCTCTTTTCAATTTTAAAAGTTGTCCATATGTCAAAGTTTTATGAGTTTGCTCTATATACATATTTCATGGCTTAATCGTATATTTCTTTCTTTGAGGTTTACTTTATAACCTAAAAAAACTTGTTACAACACCTGTTTAAGAACAAGTTTCAATCTTGTCAATAGTATTTAAATATGTTAAACGGCTTTTAAACAGGTTAACAAGTCAATAATTTTACAAGATTGAGACGTTTAAACAAGTCAACAGAGGAAAAAAAATGAAAATAATAGCATAGTTTTAGTTAAACCGGCCAACTTTTTAAGACTATATATACATATTTTAATATATAGCATGAAAGTTAACTTTTTGAATTGAATAGGTTAATGAAAATTCTTAATTACCTAATTACTAGATAGACTAAAGTTAACGTGGGTCAGGTTTAGGTTTAGGTTTAGGTTTGAGTCTCTGGCCTCTTTACACACCTGCTTATCTCTTTTACTCTATTCATACCCCGTTTTTTATGGCCGGCTGGTTTGGCTTTTAATTTGTACTTTGGCATCTTTTTTATGATTTCACATGCTTCATGAATATATATACACTTATTTTTCTTACCCTGTGTTTATTGGGTTGGGTTATAGATTTAAATCTCTTCTGATATGAACAACCTCTTTCAACAATATCTACTTGCAAACTGAGTTATATATGTTTAAAAATACTCTAACTAAATTTATAATACCAAGTCCAATACATCATTGATGATCTACGTAGTGTATTGAAAATATTTCCTTCTTATGTCACCCTCTTCACCAGCATTCTCGTAGGGAATAGATATTCAAAGAAGTTTTCACTATTGCATTGACATTAGGTTTGATCAGTCTTACTGTAAAAAGGTAAAGTTATAAATGAATAATCATTGGTTTCTGTCTTAAGCTTTCCTATGTTGAGTTCTAAACATTGAATGTAAAAGAAAGATGTTTAAGCATGTGAGATTGTGTATGTAAAATGAGATTATCCTATTTATAAGATAGAGTTACTTTAGACAATAAATAATATATTTTTTTTGAAGATTTTATTATATTAATCAAGTATATTGTAATTTTGTCTTTGCTAAAATTATAATTGAGTCTGTTATGATTTATATCTTAAGACCGAATGTTTATGTAATTAACAATATTAAAATTTAGGAATATTATGATTTTATGTCACGGTGTGGAAATAGGGGTAAGTGTCCTTAGAAATTTAAATTCTCAATTAAGTTATTAAATGAAATTTATTTTAATTTTTTAATGTAAAATAATTGTGAAAAAATAAAATAAAAAGTAAAATAAATATTTTTTTTTTACAAAATCACATTTTTGTACAAAGAATCCAAAAAACCAATACCCAATTTGTATAATTTCAAAATTTAACGTCACCGTGTGTTTGAACAAGGAATTTCACAACTTAAGAAGCTAAAATATGTTAAATATAAATGGTTTGAAGAATATTTTTCTTATATAAAAAAAATTATTTTCGGAATAAATAAAATTAAAGAGTGCAAAAATACAAGTTGTCGATGTTTTCCAATGAATATTGATTGAAGTTATATTTTGGTCAAAATCCGGAAAATAAAATGATATTCGCGAGAGTGTTTTAGATTGATATTAATGGAGGTTATTTTTTTAATACTAAGTACAATTTTTCCAACTGACAATGGTTAAGGTTAATTTTTTGTACGTCTTGGTCTGAGTTTTTTTTTTTTTTCTGACTTTTACCCCTATATTCGCTAAAACAATCATAATATAATATTGAGCTTTTTAATAACGCTAATTTTAGACAAACTTATATAAAATTTAACATAAAGGTAATTTTGTAAATACTAGAGACAATTTCAATATTATTATAATAAATATGACATCATACACACAAAACAGAATCACTATACAAAATAAATATTTATAAAAGAATTTATGTATTTATTTTTTTTATCTTGGCTTAAAGACTAATCAATACAGAAAGATATTAAAAATAGGATAATCTAACATTTTCTTTCTAATTTTTGGTTTGCATGGTAAGAACTCATGTTTAATTCACTATATTTTCATAATTTTTTATTTTTATTTTCTTCTCGTCTTCTCATTTATTCCTTGATCCCGTAATATGGTTAATTATTCTCTCCTCCATTATAACACCGTGAAACACTCTCCTCCACCATGACCCCACTAATCGTTCTCCTTCGTCATCCCTTTTCCTCCGAGTCATGTTATTCTTGTATCAAGTTCCTTTAAAGAACTTCACAACACAATGCATCCACGCTTCTCTGTTAATGATTGTCTCCATTGTTACATCGTCATTTCTTTTACTTTAAGCCACGCTACATGCTTCTCTTACTACTAGGTAAGAAATTTTAAATTATTTTAATATTATTTTTATTTTATTTTATTATAGTTTAAAATATAAGAATATCCATACAAATATAAAATTATATTTAGTCGTGAAATAGTTTTTAATTTTATTATAATTGTAGATGATATAAACAAAATAAGTAAAGTAATTAAAAAATAGCATATGTTACATTAATTGTCTATATAATTAATATAAAAAATATACAGTTTGCATCGATTATAATAATTTTATTTTCATCTTTTATATATATATATATATATATATATATATATATATATATATATATATATATATATGGATAATATCTCAAATATCAACAAAATTTAGATTAAGATGGCAATGATAATATCTCAAATGAGATGGAATGAATAATGATCCGGTTGAGGCTTAAGTTAGGAGAAAGTATTTGAAATAAGTCATAAATAAAAGAAAAAAGAAAATATAAATATAATTAAAAAACATGGATACAAGAAAGAGAGTATGAAAACATTAAAATTATTTTTAAGTAAAATTTTAATTTGAAAATTTAAATAATTAAATAAGTCTAATAATTTTATAAATTTAATTTCTTTTAAAATATTCTCTCGAAACAATATTCATGATATATTTAAAATTTTGTGACAAATAAATTAGCCTCTGATAAATACACGGTTCGTCAAAAGTGTGGCACTGGCCAGTATTAATAATAACCGCTGTCTCCGGAATATTTTCAGATACTGAGGGCATCGGAAAACAAACTCTGGCCATCGTTACTGTTTTCTTTTCTCCAACTATGACTTCATAATTCTACGGCAATGGAGCAGGACACATTATTTTTTTTTTGTTTAAGTGTTCGCCATCATATATACATATTATTACGTAAGAGTGTCTGATGTTATAATTGGGTCAAATTTTTTATTTCAAGATGTTAGAATACTTAGAGCAGTTTTAAAAGGAGTTGTTTATGGTTCCGTTATTTATAAATAATGATATTTTGTAAGAAATTGTAGTCGGTGCATTCCCATATATCAACAATAAATTTAAAAAGTTAAGTAAAATATTTTGTAGAAATAACATTTATGATAATTGTTTCTCATAATTTTTTTTTAATTTTAGTTTATTCTCGCGGTTCTCATCATAATAAGTCCATTAAAATTAAAAGTGGTAGTTAAATGATAAGTTGTTTATAATAACTCATCATTAGAATGAATTTGTAAAAATTTACAGAATTGTTTAAATATAATGTGATATTATGGATGTGAATTCTTGTAAGAACATACTATTGAATATCCGAAATCTTAATCATTAAAAATTATATATATTTTTAAAAATATATTTTTTCATTATTTTAATTATATATTAATAATATATATTTTGTTGATAGACATCTGTTTACTTTACTGAATATAATCTTGGTTTGTATATTTTAGAAAAATAGATATTAGGTCTATATTCATTTATATATAGTGGGAAAAATAAAAATAATATTCTTATCACAATTTTTAATTATTTAATATAAAAAAATTATTAGTTCACACTCATTCTTAAAACCGAAAAAACTAATAATTGAATTTAAAATTTTGTTCACTAAAAATTATACCATTTTTATTAAGTACTTAGATCGTGGGATGTTATTGAGTCACTAATATAGAATATAGGTATAGATTAATGAATCGATTTTAAATATTTAAATTCAAAAAAATATATGGTTTAAATTAAATTAAACATATTTTAATTTGTTTAGATCATAATTTATATCATATTAACTTAAATTATCCTAAAAACAGTTTTATAAAATAATTATTATTTTTTAAATAAAAATATTTTATTAAATATATATATATATATATATATATATTATAAATTTAATAAAAAATAAATTAAATTTTTAATAATCACTTATTTTAAAATCTAATAATTAAAATTAATTAATATTTTAAATTAATAAATTACTAAATAAAAATTATGATAAGAAAGGGTGAGTATTTAACTCATTCAATTATTATTTTTTTTATAATTTATATGTTAAATTATTAAATATAGACATGTTAATAATTTTTTAAAATTTTTAATCAAATTAATTTTAACTCGTTGATTTAAACTAAATTATAAATTATGGCTTATTTTATTAAAATAAGATTAGATCATTTTTTTATTTAATTCTTATTATGATCTCAAATTATACTCTACTACTCATTTTTTACCGGTCTAATCATTTAATTACCAAAATCATAATAATTGATAGTGACTAATTAAGCAATGACCAACGTTAAACAAATTTTTTATTAATTGATTTATAACTATTTTTATAATAACTAAATTAACAACTAATTTATTTGTGACTTTTTGAAGACAAATTAAAATGACTGACCTAACACAATAAATTTAGTTTTAGATTTAGATTTAAATTATTAAATAATTCTCTAAATAGTTAATAATGCTAAATTCTCAATAATGTAATTGAATGTCTAGAAATTATTGAAGTACGAAAAAACTAAATTATGAGCACATATAAGAGAAAACAAAGACATGTGACCACAGAGAACACATAACTAAACAAATTAAATTCAAATATTAAAAGAAAAAAACAAAAGGAAAAGGAGATAATAAGATCAGTTGGAAAAGAGAAACGAAAATGGGCTACAAATAAAGAGACGAGGAAAATCCTCCTTTGTTTTGGAGACAACAAAGCAACTAAAATATTTCTAACGTTTTAATTCAATTGAATAATGTCTTTATTTTAATATATAATAAAGTCATCATCTTTTATTTTTAATTTTTAATAAAAATAATGAAAAAAAAGACTAATTTCATTATTTTATTTGTAAATATTTAAAACCTAGGTGATGTTCTGATAATTAAAAATAAATAATTTCTTTCTAAATTAAATTAATCCTTAACTTTTCTATAAATATGAAAGAAAATGTTAGCTTTAAACACAGACAGGAAAAAAAATGTGAATTACAGATGGTCCAGCCAAATCAATCCCCAATCATCGATGTTAAACCTACAGTTGTAAAAATGGATGATATTGTCTGGTCTCGTTTACCCAATTAAATTATAAAACTTATATTATAATTTAAGTAATTTAATACCAATCTAATTACAAGTAATAAAAGTCTTACTGAATATTGTTATAATTGATTATAATGTTAAAAAGTAAATTAATATCTAACTTAATTTTATTAAATAATATGACGTGATTATAGATATATAATTTTTAATATATTATTTAACATCCAAAATAATATGTGATTTTTAATAATAAATCATTCATTATTAACTTCTCTTTATATAATAATATTCATTCAGGTTTTTGTATTAATTACACAATGATTGTAAACTTTTCTAGTGTTCAACTTAAAAAATTATTGCATTGTCTTTAAAAAATGAAGATCATTGTCGAATTCATATATTTTTAAAAGTGTAACTAATAATTATTATATACAACCCTTCCACAAATCCTTGCATTCTTTTGAAATGAAACTTCTCAGCTTTTGTTTGGGTAAAAGCAAGGCGATGATGTTATGACATGAATCCAAATATAAAATATAGGAAAAATATTACTAAACAAAGCTTCTTGTGAATAACTTACATGTGTCACCTTATTAATCCCTTATAAATTTAAAATTAATTATTCAAATATTATAATTATATTAAAATAAGAAAAAGTGTACATCATATAATAAAATTCTATAATTCATCTTAATGATTGTTCTATTTTATTTTTTTTATAAATTAAATACGATTAAAATGAAATAAATGGATCATTTTGTCATAATTAATTAGATTTAATATAAAGTTTGAACCAAATAAAATTAATATTTTATATTTTATATTTTGATATGACTTTATAGGTTTTATTATTATAAAATTGTTAAATTTTTTATAGAAAAAATGTGAAATATTTTTTTAAAAGATGATTATTAAACATTTTATAATAAATATTATCATTTGTAAACTTTTTTTCATATTTATATATTTAGTTAATTTCATATTAGAAATATACAAATTTTATAGTTAAATATTACAAAATTTGTTTTTGAAAATTACATTGTTATCATATTTTCACACACACACACACACACATATATATATATATATATATATATATATATATATATATATATATATATATTATAATAAAATAAAACTAAATCATAAAAACCTTAAAAAATATTATAAGTTTTTATTAATAATTAATAACATTAAATATATAATATTATATTTAAATATCATAAATAATTTAGTTCAGTTTGATTTATTTATTATTTTTTAATTCAAAATTCGATCAAAACCATAAAATCCTGTAATTTTAAAAAATAGATTAAAAATTCAAATAAAGTATAATTATAATAGGTTTTCAAATTTTGTAATCAAATGTGGGTCATAATTTTGGGTTGATTTAGTTTTAAACACCTTAATATATTAATTATAAGATTCCCTGTGAATTTGATTTTGTAACAATACTAGAATTTGAAAAAAAAAAAAGTTTATGTTGCCATTGTATTTTCCCTGATCAGAGTTTATTATTGAATGCTAAATAAAGAATTGATTATATCAAGTAAATTTTTATCCAAAGAATCTTACATATTATAACAAGTGTTTAATTTTTTTTATAGTTTTATCAAATAACTTACGAACATAAATTAATTAAAATAAATGAAAAAAAAATAGGAAAGAAAACATTTTTTTTAATTTAGTAAAAAACTTCTAATAAAATTAAATCAAGAGTGAATTGCTCAATGATACGATATAATGTGACAAATTTTGAAACCTTTGACAAAATAATAGTATGAAGTAGGATTTTATTTTTATTGTTAATTATTAATATAGTGGTGCCACTGTGGCACGAAGGTGTGGCATATTATGATATTAGTGCATTAATGAGATGTGAAATGAGTCATAGGAAGAGAGCTTCACGTACCATTTCAAAGGTTCCATTCCATAATAAAGAAAATGCGGAAAACAAAATAGAGTGAAAAATATATATGAAAAAAAGAATGACGTGAATAAAAATTATTATTTAATTAAAAATTAATATTTATATAATTGTAAAATTATTTATACAATCATTTACATAAAAAGCAAAAGATGTCCGTTACAATAACAATTTTTTATTATTATTTTCCTTGATACAGAAAAAGAAAATATTTTTATTTATTTTTTATCCGTCACTTTTCACTTTATATTTCCTGTGCAAACAAGAGAACTTAAAAAGATTATTAATTTTTATTTATAAAAAAAAGTTTTATATGCTATAATTGTTTTTCTTCACGTGCTAAAATTAATATGAGATTCGTAATTTAATACATTTTGTCAACCTATTTAATGTTTTCCCTGTCACTCACTTCCCAATCTAAAATATTGAATAGACAATCATTGAAGATGACAACTGTGGCAGTTATAAGATTTTAATAAGTGGGGACAGTTTATTTTAATAAAAAGATACATAAATTTAATTATTAAATTTATAATTATTTAAGATTTTTTCTTTTAAATTTATTTGTCTTTCTTTATATATTGATATTGTTTATCTATATTTATTTTTTGTAAAAATTAAATATAAAACAAAGTCATGAGATAAGGAAAGCAAGTACGGTTTTTTTTTTAATACTGAAGTAAGGAAATTAATTTTTAAAAATATCTTCAAATAAAAAGTTTCAATCTAAAATTTTCATACTTTCATTTACATTTTCCATTACTATATGGTAATATATTACATATTTCTAAAAAAAATTGTGCAATCTACAAATTATTGTGTGGAATGATTAACTATAATTTAGAAAAAAGGTACAATTTCTACAAATGTTTAAGGGAAACTTATCCTTTCAAAAATATATTGAAAGATAAATCAGATTAAGACAATTTAAAATATTACTGAAAATCTTTTAAAAAAGACACTAGAGTTATTTTTAAAATCATATGTTGAAATCAATTTTGGACTCATTTGTTGGGTTTAAGAAGCCCAAGAAGCCCGGTACAGAAAGGCTTTCACTACTACCCTTTGTTAAGTATTATGTTGTAATGAAGTTAGTTTACAAACTATTATATGATTCAAGTGATTTTCACACTTAACATCTAAAATTAACAGAATCACAGTACATTTTTAATTATATAATATTTTTTTAATAAATAGACAAATTTCATGGTTTTATTCTAATCCACATGATTAGGTTTAAACAATAGATCCATATGAAATATAATGAGTTTTCGTGACAATTTTAGAGTAAAATGTCAAATATAAAGTTAAATATAATTAACAAAAAATTTAATTATAATATGAAATAATATGAATTATACCATTAATCTTATTACATAAAAGAGGCACAAATGTTTTAATTGTGATGAGTCCTTGAATCCTCGTGAGGAGAAGACTATTTTGAGAAAGATCACCAGAATTATGATTAGAAAGGAAAACCTCCTCCCCACTCCTATCTCTTAATATTTTTTTTTTTTAGACTCATTTAAATATTGTTATTATAGGATTACTTAAATACCCATCTCTTTCAAAGTCCACCACGTTTTTTGGAGAAAAAGAGTCTTTAACCTAAACTTTAAAGTATGGACGATCTATGAAGGGAGAGGAGGTCAACCTTTGACCTCCTAGAAGAGAAAGGCTACGACCTTGATGAGAAAACAAGGGAAACCACCTCTTTTAGGGTAGCATATACTTCTAAAATCCCTAATGTAGTTCCTTTTAGGTTCCTCACTCATGCCTATATATAGAAACCTCCTCACCTCTTGTAAATGGTTAGAATTTGAATAAAAGTTTGACAGTATTCTCTTGAGTGTTCTTCACACTTTTAGCCTTATCTTAAACTTTGGTTCAAGTGGTGATAATCGTCACTCATCTTAAGTTGGTTCATCCCCCAAGTAGTGTGTCACCCACCACCTTTCACCCCTCCCCTCTTTTCTTCCATCTTTGTTTCTTTTTCTTCATTCCTTTTTTGCTTCTCTTCTTTTTGTTGTTCACATCCAACCCCTTTATTAGTCTTTTAATTTTATTGCTTATTGTTTTGTGTCTCTCCTTTCCTCTCTTGAATCCTTAGAAGTTGACCTTCACATTTAGATAAGTGATTATCTTTGTGTCAAGTGATAATCTTTCTTGGGTTTTTTCATCATCTTTATTACAAACACCTTATATGCTAATCCTTAAAATTGGACTCATATGATTTGGTATCAAGAGCTATGATTTAAGATAATGTGTTTTGTTGCTTAATTCTTCTCATGTTTGTAATTGTTTGGTTTCAGTGCAAATTCGTCTAGCTTTTGTCTTAATGACCGTGAGGTTGGTCCCCATTTCTTTCTCACTTAAGTTTCTTGTGATCCATGCAAAGTGTTTGGTAAAATACCTAGCCATAGGATGATTGAAATATGCATTGTATAATAGCTACATGTTGCTTCTAAGTTCTTGTTAATTAAGTCTTTAATTGTACTTACCTTTTGCTTGAGTCATATGTTTCATGTGTTATTTTGAAGTTTTCTCTCCTTAGTTTTCAATACTTGAACATGTTTGATAAAATGCTTAGCTTAATATGCATGCATCTTGAAATGATAGTGGAGATTAAACATAAGAACAAAGTGTTGATGTTCATCTAATAACAACTTCATCATTATTGTCAAGTCTAGAATCAATATTAAAGAAAAGAAAAAAATTTGCTTGTTAGAAAATAGTGGTGGTCGAGACACTATAGGCCTATTTGGAACAAAAAGATTGTACAATTGTATTCTAATTGATTATAAAATTGTTAATCACTAAAGGTTCCATGGATGAATATGAAAAATTAGTCCTAACATTATAGGAACCATAATCTTCTTGGTGTATGTACTTTGTTGGAAAAAATTTATTTGCATGTTTAAGTATTTTGTTGAAATTTCTTATAGTTTTTCTTAAAAGTTTTGTTACAATATCTCTATTTAGTGTACTCCTTACTTGCTTTGAGTTTTTCTTGCTTGACTTAGGATCTGAAAGTTTTGTCATGTTTTTTTCTTGAACTTCGTTAAGTGTTTCAGTTGGTGCACATATTTCCATTTGAACATCAACTTTCAAGAGTAGAGGACTTTTAAGGGGGTTGAACACTTGGGAAAATACTTGAGGGTTTAAGTAAACCATACCTTGAAAATTTTGTATGATAAGACAAATAATTAGAGAGTATGTTAAGTGTTTTTCTAACTTTTGTTCTTTAAGTTGTTTCTTTTTGTTCTTTAGACTTGTGCTTGTAAGGAAACATGTCAAGCACCTTATCCGAGAAGGCAAGGGAGAATCCTATGAAGTTTGAATCAAGGGACAAGCCAAAGCCTCCTTGGTGAAGCTCCGTAGGGAAATGGAACTCTTGAGAAAGGAGAGTGAAAGATACCTAAGGAAAATCATCCAAAGGTTGAAAATGGAGAGGACTGAAAGAGAAAGAAGTAGGTCATATTCAACAAGTTCCCATGAAGATGAAGGAATAAGATATCATGGAAAGAGAAATTCTAGACACAACACTACACTAAAAAAAACACAACATCAAGATTCCCAAGTTTTATGGAGACAATAATGAAAAAGTCAGTCTACTTAGAGTGGGAAGTCAAGATAGATCAAATTTTTAATATAAATCCAGTAGGGATTAGGCATGGCAACGGGGCGGGTTTTGCCTCCCCGATCCCCGCCCCCGACTTTTTTAATTATCCCCGTCCCCACCCCGATCCCGCCGGGTTAGAAATTAAGTCTCCATCCCCGTCCCCGCTGGGTTTCGGTTCCCGCCCCGCCCAGTCCTCGATTTATATTATTTTTAAAAAGATAATTACATTTATAATAAATTAATTTTACTATCTATTTTTTATATATAAATAAATATTTATAATTTTATAATTTATAATAATTATTAATTAAATATACATTCTAATTTATTATATTTATATTAAAATATGTATGTAAAAGAAATATTTAATCATTTTTTATTTATAACATTATTATTATAATACTGTATTCAAATATTTGAATACTTATAACATTATTATTATAATACTGTATTCAAATATTTGATTATATATAAGTTAATTCATTTTTAAGTTGTCATTTAAAAATATGAAATATATAGTTTATAAGAAAATATTTAATAAGTTAATTATTATTCAATTAGTTCAAAGTAATAAAAGTTTAAATTATTAATTCCTTTAATCCTTTAAAATACAATTATTTTATTAAGATAAAATTTGATATATGATAAATAAGAATAATAAGATAAAAAAATGACATAATAAAACCTAATAAATATAAATTATAAATAAAGTAATATTATTTACTACTAAGATTGATGTAAAATATTTAGAAAAAGATAAAGAATAAAAAAATTAACTTTGTGTTCATCAAATTGATTGAAAAGATTGAAAAAAAAATTGATGGGAGAGATTAAGAAAATGTGAAAAACTGAAAGGTAAAAGAGAGAATAATGTAATAAATTAATTGATATAAAAGATTAAAAAAGACAAAAAAATTAAAAAATTAAAAAATAGGTATAAGAAAAATAAAAATTGGTGAAATATAAAAAAATGATCTTATATGTAATATAAAAAGAAAAGAAAATACTTTTAAACTATTAATATTTTAAAATTTAAATTTAAATATAAAGTCGGGCCGGGGTCGAGGTGGGGATTGCATTACCCATCCCCGCCCCGACTTTTAAAGCGGGAAAACCCGAACCCGCCTCGCCTCGCCCCGGTCAACTCGGGTTTTCCCGTCAAACTCGGGGTGGGGACGGATCGGTCCCCATGGGGACGGGTTTAATTGTCATCCCTAGTAGGGATCAAGAACAAGTAAGTTAGAAAGATATGTTGTAACACCTAAAAAAATTATCATGGAAAATTTTAAAATGCAATTAATTATAATATTTGTTGAATAATTTAAATAGTTAAAAAAAGTTGTTTATTAATATATATATATATATATATATATAGTATTATTTAAAACTATTAGTAAAAGGAAAAATATTAAATATAT